GGAGCAGGCTATCCCGCCAGCCATCTTCCGCGACCCCTCGTTCGCCAAGTACCTCCAGCAGATGCTCGACCACACCGTCACGACCCACCTGCCGATCGCGAACCGCTGGCGCACGCACAAGCGCCTCATGGTGGAGGCTGCCCGTCTTGTTCGTGATGATTGGGTCAGCCGCACAGCTGGAGAGATCGGTACGTCAAACCACACCGACGGCCAGGTGATCACAGCACGCTCGATCTCGCGAGCGATCTGGCGCCAGGACATCCACCTGGCACGCCGTCTACAGTCCACCACCGAGCTCCGCGCAAAGTTTCTCGTTCTGGACGACGGCGTCATCACGCTCTCGGATGCCGCCGAGTTCGCCATGAAGCCGTCCGCTCTGCACCGCGACTTCGAGGCTCGGCAACGCTCTCTGGCACAAAGAGCGGCCCAATTACCGCGCGGCACACCTGGGGCCATCGAGCCTGAGAAGCTCCGTAAGATCACTCGTGTGTCCCAGCGCAGAGCCCTTCTTTGAGCCCCGTGGAAGCGCCGTCTTGTCCTCCAGGGCATCAAAACCACCGACCCATCGGGCCCTCCTGGGGTAGCCAGAGAGAGTTGTGCGATGGTGGACGCACTTCGCGACCACTGGCGCCCTGTCTTCGAGCGCAAGAGGTTCGAAGAAACGAAAGTTAAGCAGTACATCACCCCGCACATGCCGCTCTGCCCCACCATCGACGTTGGCGCGCCCACCAAGGCGCAGATCCGCGGCTTCTTGCAGCGCACTGCGCCGTCCGCGCCCGGGCCCGACCTCTTGCCGTACCGCGCCTGGCTCGCCGTCGACGCATCCTTGGGCTTGCTCGAGGGCCTCGCCTGGCACCTCTACTCCAACGCTGACCTGATCCACGATCTGAACGACTCCGACTTCGCCTTCCTCCCGAAGGGCGACAACCTCACGGGCGAGCTCACGACGGACCGCTCGCCAGAGGACACTCGTCCGCTCTCCCTCAGGAACACGGAAATCAAGGCCATCGCGGGCGATGCCAATTTCCTCATCAAGTCCGCTGTGGCAGAGCGGACGCATTACGCACAGCAGGGCTTCGTCGCCGGCCGCAACTTCACCAAGCACATCGTCAACCTTGACGCGGATATGCGCCGTGCTGGGGTGCGCCCGGGCTCCGAACTGCACAAACCTGTCTTCACCAGCTTCGGCTTCGCGGCGACGTTCCCGTCGCTCGGACGGGTCTTGCTGGTCGCATCGCTGGAGCGATTCGGCGTTCCTGAGGGCCTGCTCAGTCTCTTTCGCCAGCTGTACCACGCCCCGAACAGCTTCCACAAGGTCGACTGTGTCCGTCACCTCATTTCCCTTTTCGAGTCTAGCGTGGCGCAGGGCTGCCCTGCGAGCGGCTCAGCGTGGGCGATCGCGATGGACCCGCTGGTGCGCCACCTCGCTTCCTTCGTCGAGACGGCCGATGGCATTCCTGACTACGACAAGGGCTACCCCGGCGTGTGCGCGGACGACACTGGCCTCCTCACGTTCTCGATCGACACGCTGCGCCGCGCATCTGAGCCCTTTTGTGCTGCTGAGGAGCTCGCGCTCCTCTCGCTCAAGCCTCGGAAGTGCGTCGTCGTCCCGCTTTGGACGAAGACGACGCCTGCCACCACAGCCATAACGAAAGCCCTCCTGGCCGACCTCTGTCCTTCTTGGGGTGGCTTTTCGGTTTCGGGGCGAGCCAAGTACCTCGGGACCATCCTCGGACCCTCGGCCTCTCTCGCCTCACAATGGCTCGCCCCTGGGCAGAAATGGTGGCAGCGTGGCAATTCCCTCCAGCTTGTTCAGAGTGGCAGTGACGCGACCATACGCCTGCACAACACATCGGTCGTTTCGACGCTCAGCTACGTCTCACAATTCTTTCCGCTTGATCTGAAGATTGCTCGCCGTCAACATTATACAGTCCATGAAATGCTCAGCTTGCCGCCGAATGCGTTTCGCAAAGTAGATTTTATTGTAATGGCGGAGTGGTGCCCGCCTCTTGTCCGACGCTGTGCTTAGATGTTTGCAGTCGCCGCCGCAATCGTTCTGCAACCGACACGCCGCGTGGGGAATGGGGGCCATCCTTTGCGCGTTTGCGAGACACCTTGTGGGAGGAGAGCACGGCTCACTCCTTCCATTGGTGGGAGGCTGGGCAGTGGTCTCCGCCCTTCTGGGAAGAGGGCACCTCCATCGCGCAATTCTACCATGCCCTGTCAGGCGGCAAGCGCGCCGTGCCGTTTTCAGCAGCTGCCGTGGCCGCGGCAAACCGCGCAGTTGCCCGCGAGCTCCGCGAGGCCCCAGCCGCCGAGCCACCGCGCCGTCGTAAGGTGCAGCGTGCGGTCGCGCTCGCGCTTCAGCGCGCCTCTTTTTCGTCGCCGTTTACCGTCACGCTCGAGAAGCGCATCGCAGCCTGGGGACCCATCAGCCGCCCTCTGCCCCAGAGCTCGCGACGCGCTGGTCAGTTCTCACCCGTGCACTCCGCAAAGTCCGCCCCAGCTGGCGCTGGGCGGTTTTCAAGGTGCTTGCTGGGGGATGGACGACCACCCACCGCATGCACGTCCTCCAGCAGAAGCAGCGCGTGATCGGGTGCCAAGCGGCACCCGACTCGTTCCTTCACTATCTCTCCTGCCTTGGCCTCCTGAGCCTCTTCTGGTCCCTGACTCTCCCCCGCTCCGTAACACACTTACAAGCTGGGGCTTGGGCCCCGCCGCAGCCTATCCGTCTGATCCTGACAGCGACCTCTCGTTGCTGCGGCCGATCCAGCGGACAGCGCTGGCCTTCAACCTTTACAACCACATGAAGCATGACACGCCGACCCCAGCCACGATAGCTGAAGGGCTGCGCGCTGCCAAAGCCTTGCTTTGGAAATCGGCGCCAGCGGACGGACGCGTGCGGACAACTTGCCCTCGTCTCGCGTCTTGCCCGCTTGCCCTCGTCTCTTCCTCTTTGTGCACGTGCACTCCTCCTCCTCCTCCTCCTCCTCCTCCTCCTCCTCCTCCTCTTCCTCCCCTCCTCCTCCTCCTCCTCCTCCTCCTCCTCCTCCTCCGCGGGTCGCATACGGCCCCGGGGGGGGAACCGCGCAGAGGACCCTGGCAAGGAAGACAGAAATCGGGTTCGGAGGATGGGCTTGGGAGAAAAGAGAGCATCATTGCCCGTAGGCGGCCGACGGCATCGCGCTTCGCATCCGAGTGTTTTTGCTCGTGCTTTTCGTTCTCCCAACCCCTTCCTCCCAGCACGATACCTGTTAATCCTCGCCTGGGACGGCTGGAGCAATGAGGGCCCGTTGTGGTTTGCGCCCGTCGTTGGCCGAGCAGGCGCCGCCTCTGCGGGGAAGCCCTCGCTCCCCATCGCGTTTCCGCTCTGCAGCAGGTCCTGGGGAATCTGGGCCGAGGCGGGGCCGCGGGAGGGTCAGCCCGGCGAAGGGCTCGGGGTCCGCGCGCGATCCGCGGGGGCCGCAAGCTCTGAGCCGCTCCCCCCGCCAGTCCCCGGCGCCCCAAGGGACGTCCAGAGGTGGCGAAGCTCCCAGCGGTGCGGCGTCATGCCGTTCCTCCTCCTCCTCCTCCTCCTCCTCCTCCTCCTCCTCCTCCTCCTCCTCCTCCTCCTCTTCGTTCGACTCGAGTCGAGTCGAGTCGAGTCGAGTCTTCCTCCTCCTCCTCCTCCTCCTCCTCCTCCTCCTCCTCCTCCTCCTCCTCGGCTTTCACCTCGCCCCCCTCTCTCTCCCTCGCGGCCGCCGCCGTCCTCCTTTCCCTCCTCCTCCTCCCCTTGCCCGTCCTCCTCCCGGCGGCGCCGCCCCGAGCGCCCTCCAGGAGAGTCCGCCGTCGGAGTCTCCCGGGCTGCCCTCTTCCATCTCGTGGGCCCCGGCCGCCGCAGCCAAGGCTGACGGCCGAGAGGCGGGGGCTGGTGTACGCCACCGAGCTGGACCCGCGGGGCCGTGCCGTGGGCGCCCCCCGGCCACCACCTCTCTGGCGGCCGTCGTGCCCTCCTCTCCTCTCTGCGCCGCCGGCCCGGGCTGGCAGGGCCGCTGCTGCGGCCCCCTTTGCCCGGCCAGGGCGCTCCCTTTCGGCCGGCCCCTCCCTCCCCTTCCCTGCCCCTCTTTCGATTGCACGCAAGAGTGACCTTTCGCCAGAGTTACCTTTGGTGCGGGCCCACTGGGGTCCCCCGATAGCGGAGCGCGAAGCGGCAGCAGCGGCTTGCGCGCCCGGGTGGTGCCCCCACCAGGGGCCCCCCCTGGGGCCGCGCACCAAAGTGCACTCTACTCTTGCGTGTAGCTGACTTTGGACGCTGGCCATACATCAGTTTCATGGCTGTTGCGCCTTCCTGCCCCTTCCGTTCCTCCCTTTTCTCCCCCCTCTGGTCAGCCCTTCTCCCGCAGCCCTCCCCCGCTCTCCCATCCCCCCAGTTTGTCCCTGCCCCCTTGTCCACTCGGCGGCGGGAGCGGGTCAGCGGGGGAGGGCGGGGGAGGGGGAAAAGGAACAGGAGGAGGAGGAGGAGGAGGAGGAGGAGGAGGAGGAGGAGGAGGAGGAGGAGGAGCGGAGCGGAGGAGGAGGAGGCGGAGGCGGAGGAGCAGGAGCAGGAGGAGGAGGAGAGGAGGAGGAGAGGAGGAGGAGGAGGAGGGGAGGAGGAGGAGGGGGAGGAGGAGGAGGGGGAGGAGGAGGAGGAGGAGGAGGAGAGGAGGAGGAGGAGGAAGATGAGGAGGAGGAGGAGGATGAGGAGGAGGAGGAGGAGAGGGACGAGGACCAGGGTAAACCCAAGAAACATCAACGATGTTGCAGACCACGCTCCCGTCCCAGGCCCCCCTCCTCCCTACCCAGTCCACGCAAGAGTTTGATGTTCACTGCTCGAAGCGCCCCCCCCCCCGTGCCGTTGGAAGACGAGCTGACCACGGGCCCGCATCATCGGCGTCACCCCAGCCTACGGATACCGTGTGTGCGTCGCCCCCCCCCCCCACCCCCATTGGGGCGACGCGCGCGCCGAGAGATCTTATATAGTAGATACGTCGTGGTGGGCGCTTTCTGGCCGTGCGCTCGGGAAACGATACACATATATATATATATATACACACACACACACACACACACACACTGCAAGATGGTTCTACAATCTGTTCGGGGCGGACGCGCCTTTTTGACAGAATCTGCCTCCGAGCTGTCGATCTGGAGGAGCCGAAGAAGAAGCAACGGCACAAACGTAAGCTCGCGGAGCTCCGCGCGGATTCCCTGGATCTCCGCTGGGGCAACCTGGCGGCGCCTCCGGGCGCCGCCCCCGGCGCGCCTCGCGCGCCAGGGAGGGGAGCCCAGCGCAGATCCACGAAATCCGCGCGGAGCGTCGAAGGTTGATGTTTATGCCGCTACGTTTGTGCTGCCTGGCTTTCCTCCATGTTGTGCCGCTATGCTCACGCGATGCTTCTACGCCATGCTCATGCCGCTATGTTCATGCTGATTTATGTCTGTGCTCGTGCCGCTATGCTTCTGCTGTGCTTATGCCGCTATGCTTCTGCGACAGGGCCGCGTCATAAACGCCAAGAGGGTGCCCAGCGAGGGCCCCTTTGTTTTTCAGCTTGGCCGCCCTCTGGCCGTGCAGCCGTGGCACACACGCCAGGCATCCGGCCGTGCACCGCCACCGGGCCCCCGGGCGAGCGCCCGGCGCGCCCTCCAGCCGTGAAACTTCGACTACACGCAGGAGTGGCCCTGGCCCTTCGCCGGAGTGACCTTTGATGCGGGCTCACTGGGGGCCCCCGGTCGCCGAACGCGATGCGGTGGTAGCGTCTTGCGCGCTCGCGTTTGGCCCCACCGCGGTCCCCAAGGAGCCGCGCACCAAGGGTCACTCTTACCCAGGGTCGCTCTTGCGTGTAGTCGATCACTGCCAGCAGTTTCGCACATGTGAGAACACATGTTGAGGATCAGAGGAGCAAGAGGTACCCATGACTCTGCTCTTTCCTCGTCTTCCCATTGTCGGGCCTCCTGGGAGGCCCTCGTCGCCAACGCTGGATTCACCTCGAAGTTCTGGTCGGAACGCACCCCAGGAGAGGTCCGGGGAGTAGCGGTACCGGTATTTTTTTAGTTTCCCTAGAGGACGTCCCTGGTGGGAGCTCCATTTTGAACAGGAGGCGCCCTTCACCTGTGCAACCGGTCGGCGTATGTTTTAGGATGACTGCGAGCGGCGCCAAGGCGAGCGCCCCATTCTGGGATGGACTCCCCTTGCGTTCGTGTGAACGTTGGAATTTTTCCAGACGAGTGTGCCTGGCGCCAAGGTGAGAGCTCAATTTTGGAAACAAGGCGTCCTAGATTCGCGTAACGGGTGCAAGTTGTAAGCTTCAACGTCGTAGGCGGTGAGGAAGGCTCATGCGAAACGCCCCGACCGCCCTGAAGACACGTCTGGTGGTGCGACAAGGAGCGACTATGCATAAGGTCAATGGACGGAGGGTCATCGTGATGAGTGGTGAGGAGGAAAAGGGTTATTCAGGAAGAGAAGGAGGAAGAGGAAGAGGAAGAGATGGAGGAGGAAAATGATGAGGAGGAGGACGAGGCATGAGAAGTGAGGAGGAGGAGGAGAAGTGCAGAGTGAAAGGGTGAGGGAGCGGGGAGGAGGAGAAGGAGGAGGAGGAGGAGGATGAGGCGGAGCAGGGTGAAGCCCCCGAGGGCCTCAGCATTCCCTAAACAGTGCTTACACTTGGGGATTCATACCCCTGTTCTACAGAACTGTGCCGTGTCTTCGTTCTGGCGGCTACGTGGCCGCCGTCGCCGCCTCGTCGCCGCCCGTCGTCTGGGCCGTGTGGGTCGGCCTGGCGGCTATGTCGCCGCCGTCGCCGCCTCGTCGCCGCCCGTCGTCTGGGCCGTGTGGGTCGGCCTGGCGGCTATGTGGCCGCCGTCGCCGCCTCGCTGCCGCCCGTCGTCTGGGCCTGACGGCCGGCCTGGCGGCTATGTGGCCGCCGTCGCCGCCCCGGCGCCGCCCCGTCGCCGCCCATCCCGTCGCCGCCCAGAGTCTCTTTCTTAGGAGAAGTTACCATCGACCCCCCCCCAGGACTTGTCGTGCCCCCTCGGGGATGTGCAATTTACAGGTGAGTCTGCCCCTATCAGCCATCTTAAGTTTGAAGGCGCAACAGCCCAGCCAAACAGGCCTCCGCCCTCACCTTCTGCGAAAAGTGGCCGTCGTGCGCAAGCGGTTCTCAAACACCGTCGGTGCCACACAGTCTCTTGCAGCAGGTGGGACGCAGCGCGCACCTGTGCGTCGTCGCGCGCGCATGCCGAACTCAGTTCAACAAAAACCATGGATCCCCTAGGTATGTTCAAATCTTGCGTCACGAAGACATACGAACGCATATGGCTTCGCAGCAAGGAGTTTCAAAAACGCCTGCGCTCGCGCTTTTGCAGATTCCTAAAGGAACCACTTTTTCAACATGCCCATAAACTGATACCAAAAGGGCCTCTCGCGCGCGCATGTCGAAGTGGTTCTAGAGACCATGCGCGCGCGCTGTTACAAAAAAACCCGTTTCAAACAATGGAACGCAGTGCGCACACACGAGTCGTCGTGCGCGCATGCTGGAATATGTCAGCAACCTTCAGTTCCGTAAGGATTCCAATTAAGAGTGCCCCAAACACATATAACATCCATTTGTTTTTGCAGCATCAGTTTTCCAAAAAAGCCTGCGCGCGCGCTCTTGCGAATTCTTGAGAAAACCATCGGTTTTCACAAGTGTCATCCAATTATGCCAAGCGGGCTTTCGCGCCGCATGTCGAGCTCATCCGAACGCCCTTACGCGCGTGCTGGGGGGGTGGGCACGACCCCTGCCAAGTAATACCACGCGGGCCATTCGCGCGCGTCGGCCGCGCGCTCATGTCGAGCTCCTTCCAAAACCTTCATCACCGACGCGAGGACATCGTCATCGTTATCGGCGGGCGTGATCAACATCAGCGCCGCCATTGGGCTTGCCGTCGTCACAGCCACCATCGCCACCATCATCGCTACTCTCATCATCGTGTCTACCGCTGTCGGCGTCGGTCGCCATGACACCGCGCCCGCCCAAGTCACCGACTCGCACTGAAGTGCCCGTTGGAAGTGCCCAGCGGTCAGCGTCACCGCGGCCGCGTCGGTCGCGCCGCACAAGCTGGTGGCTGCGCGCGCGGGTATGCGTGGGCTAGCGCGGCCGCGGAGAAGCACCAGCTAACGCCAAGCGCTCATCGCAATCGCAGCCACATTGGTTTTGCAAACCATGTTGCGGGTGCGTGGGCAAGATGATTGCGCGAGCAGTGGAGTTGACTACTCACTTGGAGCATGGGTGAATTTATCCCTCTCCTTTTTTGCTGTGCACTTTGCATATGATGCTGCCCCATTGTCCATCCTATGTATGATGTCACACCATCCCAACCCAACCGGTATCCGCCCCTCCCGCCACCCTGTGCCAAAAATACTGCGTGCGCACTCGTTTATCAAACATTAAAAGTTTTCAAGACCCCTCTGCAAAATATGAAGCGAAGTACACGCGCGCGTCGTCGCTGCGCATGCCGAAATAATCCAGAATCGTCAGTTTCGCAAGGGTCCAACATTGAATGTCAAAACAGAAAACACATGGTTTCGCAACGTGGCTGTTCAAACAAGAACTTGTGCGCGCGCTCTTGCGAAGTGTTAAGAAAACCTCAGGTTGTTCAACATGTTCAGAACATGCTTCCAAACGGGCTTCGCGCGCGCATGTCGAAATCTTTCGAAAGCCCTGCAAACAAGAGGACGAAGTGCACGCGCGCGCGCGCCGTCGCGCGCGCATGCCGACATTTGTCAAAAGCCTTCGGTTTCGCAACGATGTCAAAACCCAGTGCCCAACAAGCATACACAACGCAGGGTTTCGCAACATCCATCAAGAAAACCGTCGGTTTTTCGCATGTTCACGGAGTTCTGGAATCATGACCCGCTCGCAGCGTATGCCGAATTCGAGCCAAATCGGAACGGCCGCGTTGACTCCCACTGGCTCCCGCGCCTCCGCCGTCCGCCTTGTCGAGCAGAGCCCAGTGTGGCGACGAACCTTGCCTCTCGCAGCGCCTGCATCGGCGGCAACCGCCTGCCTTGTCGCTTGCACTGGTCCCAGCGTTGTAACTGATGGCGTGCTGCCCCTGCTCTGCCATGGTTTGCTGGCCCATTCTGAGCGTCGTAGCTGCCCCTAGCGTCGCGGCGGATCGCGTGCCGTTCCTGCATTCTCGCGGCCTTCTCGCACGAGCTGCCCCAAACGTGTAGCTGATGCCGTTCTGCTCCTGCTCTGCCGTGTGGCGCTGGCCTCGGTTGCCGCCGCCGCGGGCCTTCTAGCACAAGCCGACCCCAGCGTTGTAGCTGATCACATGCCACATGCTGCTCTTGCGTTCTCGCACGAGCTGTCCCCAGCGCTGCATATGATGACGTGCTCCTCCTGCTGCCGCCACTGCCCCTTCTTCTCGCACGAGCTGCCCCGAGCGTCGTAGCTGATCGCCTGCCGCTCCTGCACTCCTCGCTGCCTTCTCGCACGAGCTGGCCCCGGTATTGTAGCCGATGACGTGCTGCTCCTGCTCTGCCGCGGTGCGCTGGAGGGGCCTGCAAGGTTCTCGCATTGCCAGCCTCGGCTGCCACTGCCTGCGTTGTAGCCGAGAATGTCTGCAGCCTTCTCGCACTTCCAGCATCCAGTGCATGTTTCTGCCTTGTTGCATATGCTGATTCCATCGTTATAGTTGAGGGTGCCTGCAACCTTCTCGCAATGCACCGCCGCTGCCTGTCTTGTCGCAAGCGCTGACCCCCACGTGTAGTTGCGAGCGCATGCCTTCTCGAAATGCCAGCCTCCACTGCCACTGCCTGCCTTGTAGCAGGATTCGCTGCCACTGCCTGCTCCTTGCCTCTTCGGCCGAGCTGGCTGCCGTTGCCTGCCTTGACGCGCGAGCTGATGCCAGCGGGGAGCAGATAATGTACGGCCCAGTCGCCAGTTCGTTCTCGCCTCCTTCATTGCTGGCTGCACCTTTCTCCTGGTGCGGCCCCATC